GACAGAAACACACAGGCACAGAATTTATATGCAGAGGGATTGATGGGCAGAGAGATCAAAAGATCATACAAAGTGCCGTGTCGACAGCCTGAATAATAGGTCTCTGCAGGTGACCAGGAGTGTCAGACGGTGTGAGTAAAGTGTCAAATGCTGAATAACAATGAAGGGATGACCTATAATCTGATCAAATGAGATAGAGAGATAATCACAAAAAATTAAAAATAAGGTGGTGCCGGAGACAAATCAAATGACTGGAATAACATGATAGGTATAAGAGTCGCATGTCAAGGGTTTAACCAGAGTAATAAGTAATCCAACCTATACATACATAATGGTGGAGAGATCATAAGAATTTATCATGGTGATGTTCTCAAAACTGGACAGTAAGGAAGATTTTACAGAACAGTATGGTGGGGTCCCATGTAGTGCAATATGAACCCAAGATAACAGTTGAGGCCGTCTTCATGGGTACAGAACTTGGCTCTCAGTTTCTACTTGGCCATTCTGACCACACCTTCAAACAGATGAATCCAAAGTTCTCAGCCAAGGGCTCAATCTCTGCCCCACCACCAAAATGGACCCCATTGGTCTTGCGGCAGACCCAAAAGAATTCATCAGGCGAATGAGGCTCCGGGAATTCTTCCACAATCCCCAAGATGTCAACAGTGAGCCCAATGAGACAACCTACGAACCGGAACAGTCGACAGAGAGATCTGCAGTGCAGCGACCAAAGAAGAAAGAGCTGAATTGGACCCCTCCATAAGGCCGCTGCCCTAGGTTCGACATGTACGCTCAAGCTGTCAGGAGATGCGTTAACACCATATTCATCAGTCGTGCTCACAAGGTAGCGCAGAAAATCACCAAAGTACAACACAGTGTCATCCATACTCTCAACACCCATCGTAATATTGTCATCAAAATCGGCACACAAAGGAGGGGCCATCGTCATACAGAATAGAATAGACTCCTGCAATTTGGCATACTGACAACTGAACAACCATGAACATTACAGACAACTACCCGCTGATCCAACCAAATAACACAATCCGTCAACTCAACAGACTGATCAAGACCTTTGATCCAGACCTTCAGAGTATCCGATACACTCTCATCCCACGTACTTTTCACATATGAGACTTCTACTGCCTTCTGAAGATACATAAAGTCAACACACCTGGATGGCTAATCATATCAGGCAATGGGACTCTGTATGAGAATCTCTCTGGCTATGTTGAGGGCATCTTGAAACCCATTATACAAGCTTCTGTTACGACACTTCAGATTTCTTACAGAAACTCAGCACCCACAGACCAGTTAAACCAGGAACAATGGGCGTTTTGGCACTCTACACCAGCATACCCCACAACAACGGCATTGCTGCAACAGCCTCAGTGCTCAACACCAACAACTGCCAATTTCCAGACACTATCCTATAACTCATCTGCTTCATCCTTAACCACAATGTCATCACCTTCAACAACCATTTCTTCACCGAGACATACAGAACAGCCATGGGGACCAAATTTTCACCCCAATATGCCAACATTTTCATGCACAAGTTCAAGCAAGACTTCTTTGCTGCACAAGATCTCCAACCAATGCTATACACCAGATACATCAACGACATTTTCTTCCTCTGGACTCATGGCGAGGAATCTCTGAAATGACTGCATAGCGATATCAACAAGTTTCATCCCACCATCAGACCTACCATGGACTACTCTTCAGAATCAGTGTCATTCTTGGACACATGCATCTCCATCAAGGACGGTCACCTCAGTACCTCACTCCCATGGATAACCTCACGATGCTGTACTTCTCTAGCTTCCACCCGAAACATGTTAAAGAAGCCATCCCCAAGAACAAGCCCTGCACATACATAGGATCTACTCAGATGAGGAGGAATGAGACGGACACCTAAAAATTTTGAAGGATGCCCTCATAAGAATGGGATAAGATGCTCAACTCATCGATTGCCAGTTCCAACATGCTACAGCAAAAAACTGCAACGACCTCCTCAGAAGACGGACACAGGATAAGACTGATAGAGCACTCTTCATCATCCAGTACTTCCCCAGAGTGGAGAAACTGCGCCACGTTCTTTGCAGCCTTCAACGCGTCTTCGATGATGATGAGCATCTCACCAAGATCATTCCTATGCCCCCAGTTCTCACCTTTAAACAACTGCCAAACTTTAAACAGACCATTGTTTGCAGCAAAATACCCTGCCTTCAGGACAACATCAACCACAACACCACATAACCCTGCCATGGCAACCTCTGCAGGACGTGTCAAATCATTGACATGGATGCTACCATCACACATGGGAATACCACCCACCACGTACACAGCAGATGCTTATGTTACTCGGCCAATGTTGTCTACTTCATATGCTGCAGGCAAGGATGCCCTGAGGCAGGGTATATGGGCGAGACCATGCAGACACTACAACAACAGAGGAATGGACATTGCGCAACAATCGCCAGACAGGAATGTTCCCTCCCATTTGGGGAACACTTCAGTGGTCAAAGACATTCAGCCTCCAATGTTCAGGTAACCATCCTCCAAGGCAACTTTCGAGGTACACAACAACGCAGAATGGTCGTGGAGAAACTGAGAGCCAAGTTCCGTACCCACAAAAAAGGCCTCAACTGTGATCTTGGGCTCATGTCGTTACAGGTGACCACACCAAACAGTTCGGTATCTGTAAAGTCTTCCTTACTGTCCTATTTTGGGACCATCACCTTGATAAATTCTTATGATCTTTCTACCTTAATTCGTTTGTACTGTTTTGGATTACTTGCTACTTTGGTTAGACCCTCAGTATGCAACTCATACCTATCATGTTATTCGAGTCATTTGGTTTTCTCCAGCACCACCTTATTTTTAATTTTTTTTGTAATTAGCTCTCTACTTCATTTGATCAGATTATAGGTTATCCCTTCACTTGTTATTCAGCTGTTCACACTTTACTCACACTGTCTGACACTCCTGATCACCTGCAGAGATCTATTATTTGGCCTATCGATGCTCCACTTTGTATAATCTTTTGATCTCTCTGCCCATCAATCCCTGCATATAAAATCTGTGCCTGCGTGTTTCTCTCTCACTTCACCTGACAAGGGGGTAATGCTCCGAAAGCTTGTGATGTCAAATAAACCTGTTGGAATTTACCCTGGTGTCATCTGACTTCCGACCTTGTCCACCCCAGTCCAACACCGGTACCTCCACATCATGCCCCTTCTAGATGATATATGTCATGGGTTTGGAAAGTGCTGACCAAGGATCCGTGGTGAATTTATGCAGTGCATTTTATAAATGGTAAATTTTACTGATACTGAACATTGGTGGTGGAGGGAGTGGATGCTTGTGGATGTGGTGCCAATCAAGCAAACTGCTTTGTCCTCGATGGTGTTAAGCTTCAAGTGTTGTTTGAGCTGCACTCATCTCTGGGAAATGGGGAGTATTCCATCACACTCCTGACTTGTGATAGTGGACAGGCTGTGGGGAGTCAGGAGTTGAGTTACTCACTGCAGTATTCCTAATCTCTGATATGTTCTTGCAGCTATCATATTTATATGCCTAGTTCAGTTCTGTTTTGGGTCAATGGTAACCTCCAGGATATTGATTGTGGGTGATTCAGCAAAGGTGATGCCTTGGAAAGTGAAACGATCGTGGTTAGATTCTCTTGATGTTAAGGTAAATATCCTGGCATTTGTGTGGCATGAATGCTACTTGCCACTCGTCAGCCCAAACCTGGATATTGTCCAGGTCTCGCTGCATTTGGACACAGACTGCTTCAGTATCTGAAGAGTCAAAATTGTTATTGAATATTGTGCAACCATCAACAAGCAACCCCATTTCTGACCTTATGATGGTGGAAAGGTCATTAATGAAGCACCTGAAGATGGTTGGGCCTAAGACACTACCCTGAAGAACCTCTGCAGAGACAATCATTATAGAATCTCTCTACAGTGCTGAAGCAGGCCATTCAGCCCATCAAGTCCACACTGACCCTCTGAAGAGCATCCCATCCAGACCCACCTTATCCCTGTAGCCCTGTGTTTCCCATGGCTAAACCACCTAGCCCACACATCCCTGGAAACTACGGGCAATTTAGCATGGTCAATCCATCTAACCTGCACACCTTTGGACTGTGGGAGGAAACTATAGCACCTGGAGGAAACCTACGCAGACACAGGGAGAATGTGCAAACTCCACACACACAGTTGCCTGAGGGTGGAATCGAACATGTGTCTCTGCTGCTATGAGGCAGCAGTGCTAACCACCGTGCCACTGTGCCAAGATGTCCTGGAGCTTAGATGACTGACCTCCAATAACCATAATTATCTTCCTTTGTGCAAGGTATGACCCAATCAGCAAAGAGTTTTCCCAACACTTCCCGTTGACTCCAGTTTTGCCCAGGAATCCTGAATGCCACTTTTGGTCAAATCAACCTTGATGTCAAAGATAGCCACTTTCACCTTACCTCTGGAATTCAGCTCTTTTGTCCATGTTTGAACCAAGGCTGCGTGAGGTCAGGAACTCTGATGGAACCCAAAGTGGGTGTCACTGAGCAGGTTACTGCTGAGTAGGAGCTGCTTGATAGTACTGTTGATGACACCTTCCATCACTTTACTGACAGCTGAGAGTAGCCTGATGGGGAAGTAATTGGCTGGGTTGGATTTGTTCTTTTTTGGTATGACATACCTGGGTAATTTTGCACATTGTCAGGTAGATGCGAACAGCTTGGCTAGCAGCATGGAAAATTCTAGATTACAAGTCTTCAATGCTATTGTTGAAATGTTGTCAGGGCCCATACCTTTGCAGTATCCAGTGTCTCCGGCTGTTTCTTGTTATCACCTGGAGTGAATTAAATTGGCTGAAAACTGCCTTAAATGGAGATATCCAAACAGGTTGATTAAAAAGAAAGTACACTGTAATTTCAAAACTTCAAATTAGGTTTTAATATGTTTTATGAAAAGTCAAATCAACTTACAGACAGTCCCTGGGTTGCAAACAGATTCCGCTCTTGAGTCTTAGCAAGTCGATTTGTACACAAGTTGGAACACATAGCAGGACAATATAAAATAGCCATTCATAAGTACAACAAACATTCATATATCAATCCTTTAAAATTACACACCAGTTTGGGACTGCGTTTTTGGTATGAGTGTTCTTAAGTCAGGGACCCCCTGTATATATTTCCTCATTTATTTATTTTCTCACTTAAGGTGCTGATTCTTGCTGAGGTTTGGTGCCATGAATGCTGACAGTGAGGAACTGAAACTGGAACCTTCAAGACAATATTCGTACTGTAACGCATTGAAGAGTATGATAAGAAGCAATTGCAACGTAAGGAAAAACTCTTTTATGCACTACCAGAGAATCTGCCAGAAGTAGGTTCATTCAAGAGGTATGGAATCATTACCTGGATGGGAAGAATGTGCAGGGTTGCAGAGCAAAGTTGGTGGAATGGAAGTAGATGAATTTCTCAGGCAGACAGCCACCTGATGGCTGCATGGCCTCCTTCTGAGTCACACCATTCTATGATTTATGCTGACATCCCGCCAACTTTTTACATTATGAATTCCTCTAGCCACACTATAATGATATTAGCATTGTGCAACTTCAGTTGAGTGGGAAGATGAGAAAAGCTGTGTTCTTCTCCTTAAAGTAGAGGAAATTAAGGGTTGATTTAATAAAGGTGTTTAAAATAATAAAGGGCATTGATTGAGAAATAGTTTCTTGTGGCAATAGGTCAGTAACCAGAGAAGACGGATTTAAGGTAACTGGCAAAAAATTGAGGGTAGCAGATCTGTACACTCAGCAGAAACACAATCTACAATTCTGCTGGTGTACCATGATTTGAAATACCAAAACATAAATTCTATCTGCAGCAAGTCCCAAAGTGTGTATCTCAAATATATCCATAAACAATGTCCTTTTAACAATTTGAGCTAGGCATCTCAGTGATTGTTTATGCATTTCTGAAAATGAAAATGAAAATAAAAACTTCTGTTCCTTGATAAAGGTTTAGATTTTCAGAAAGCTAATTAACATCATAGAAAGTAAAGAGTGTGTGATTTGAAGTTAGCATTTTATGTGCTGAGAACACTGAAAATAGGCATGTGTTCCCTAACAGGCACACAATAGATTTCAAATGCACAGTAACATCTCTTTCAAAATATGCTATGGAGTTATTAAATCCCAGCTCTAGATATAACAGGTAGACGGAGGACCCTAAAGACATGCCTTTTGGTTTCTCCACATTTACTTACATTTTCCTGTACTTTTTTTTCCTTTGGTGGGTTTTGTAACAACATATTGTAGATTACTGCAAAGCAACATTTATTTTGGCAAGTCAAAAGCAAAATACTGCGCATACTGGAAATCTGAAATATAAATTGAAAAGGCTGGAAATACTCAGTAGGTCAGGCAGCATCTGTGAAGGGAGAAAAAGGGTGACACTGAATGTTGATGCTATTGTAAAAAGGGATCACTGGCTGCATTGGTAGCATTAAGCTGATGAGCCATGAAAAAATGGATGTTTGGCTTCATTGGTTCCATTCAGTTCAATCAGGGCTCAGTTCCACTTACACATATTTGTTCCACATCCCTTAATATTTCTATTAAAAAAAATCTCAGTTCTAAAAATCTCAATTGATTCAGCTTCAAAAGTCTTTTTGAGACAAGAGATCTAGATTTCCACTTGTGTCAGAATGTACTTCCTGCTTTCACACCTAAATTGCCTGTATCTAATTATAAGATGTGTCCTCTTGGTTTGGATTCTCCTCCAGAAGAACCAGTTTCTTACCCTACTGAATCCCTTTGACTAAAGACTATAATGCGATTACCCACCGCTCATCACTCAAGGAAATATAACCCAAATTCAAATGACCTGACTTTATGAAATAACCTTTTAATCTCTAATATTATGCTGGTGAATCTGTGATGCACACTTCTAAACTAACAGATCTTCCCTGAGGTATGGTACCCAAAAAAATACACTGATTGCAGTAGAGGAAAACTTTGGTAACCATTCTTTGACAGCTCAAGGGAAGATCTCTGCTTCATTATCCTTGCTTCATTATCCACCTTCACTGGATTCAAAAATGGATGGCTTAATTAAGTATAATCCAGAATGAAAGATGACTATGAGTAAAATTTCACATTTATGATGAAAGGAAGGGACAGGTCTACAGAAATAAATTGTTTCCAGCAGTTGGGGTTTCAAGAACAAGAAGCCAAGATATAAGACTAAATGTATGAAATTTAAGGTAGAAGGTAAGAGAAATTTCCATGGTAATATCTGGGTACAGGAATTGAACTTTCTGGACTTTGTAATAAATACAGTAATTATAAACAATATTCCAGCATTTCAGTATTTTGTCTTTACGATTCATTTAGATATTAAGTCTACAAGTTGAGGCACAAAAGATGTGAACTGAAATACTTTCACTGGAAAAATCGAAGATTGAGAGGATATGTAATCCCAGTCCCTTTCACATCATCAATTTTAATATCATCAATTTTAATGGATATTGTAAGGTCTAGAGTTACTTTGAGCAACATTAGATGGGAGGTGTCATCAGCCATGAAAAAATAAACAAGCAGAAATTATACTTGCAATCCAAGAATCGTTTCCTTTAAAAGTATTCGATAACATCAATAACATTTATTTCACAGTCTGGAAATAATAAAGATATGTTTCAGAATAGAGACATTTGAATATTATTTTAGGAACATACAGTTTTTGCAGTATTGAAGGGAACATCAAATCTTCCAAATTAAGTTAGTGACAGGTTTATAGGCCATGAAAGAGTTGAATATCGGGATTCTTTTCCTTAATCTTTTTCCAGCTCTCCTAAATCGAGCTGAGCTGTCCAGCCAACTAAACTGTCTACTTCCTTGTCCCTCAATTCCTCATCTTGAGTATTGCTGTTGGGTTGCATTGGCTTGCTGCTTGTTGGCAGATTCTGGGTTACTGAAGTTGAAGCTTCTAAAACAAAGAGCATGATGTACTAATGTTAATATGAAATATACTAACATCCACAGTTGATTAATCTGATACGAAAAAGACTCACATTTGATGATCCTTGAAACTTGAAATGTTGGAATACTGTTTAAAATTTTTTTCCCCTCCTTTCTGGAAAGGTCCAGCTCTTATTGGGCAAAGCCATATGTCAGCCAGTGAGTCAGGTGTCCCTAATCTTCATATCTAACGGAGCCAGGAAATGTTGCCTGTTAGGATCAAATCTGATTTCATTCTCATTATGTACACACTGATATACTTTCCTGTAGGAAAACCAAGTTTAATTGTGGTTTCTATACTGCTCCTCTGACAGCAATTGATTCAACATGAACTGGGAATCAAAAGAGAGATAGATTCTGTTCTGAGATAGCAGGAACTGCTGATACTGGAGAATCTGAGATAACAAGGTGTAGATCTGGATGAACACAGCAGGCCAAGCAGCATCAGAGGAGCAGGAAAGCTGATGTTTTGGGCCTAGACCCTTCTTCAGAAAAAAGAAATACTCAGTAGGTCAGGCAGCGTCTGTGAAGGGAGAAAAAGGGTGACACTGAATGTTGATGCTATTGTAAAAAGGGATCACTGGCTGCATTGGTAGCATTAAGCTGATGAGCCATGAAAAAATGGATATGTTTGGCTTCATTGGTTCCATTCAATTCAATCAGGGCTCAGTTCCATTTACACATATTTGTTCCACATCCCTTTTGTATTTCCTTGAGTGATGAGAGGTGGGTAATCTCATTATAGTATTTTTTTCTGAAGAAGGGTCTAGACCCAAAACGTCAGCTTTCCTGCTCGGCCTGCTGTGTTCATCCAGCTCTACAACTTGTTATCACAGATTCTGGTCTGATCAGCACTAGGCTGACTGAGATCTCCCTGCATTCGCCGGTATATTACGAGCATAATGTTGGCCAAGACACGTTACAAGACAGGCAGGTTAACACTGGCAGCAGTTTGGGGATGCGCCCCAGAGGGCCCACAAATGATAGGGTCATGTCTGCTTGAACGCCCTCCCTGACTTCTCAATCACAGCCCTGATGCCCCTCAATGGGGTCTGCCTACATTTCACCCCCTCCTCCACCCCCACCCAAATGAATTCAACAATGACATAACAGACTTGAGCGTTGTAGTGCTGTCACAGCCCAGGAACTCCGGCACTATGACATTGACATCACAGCCCTGAACGAGACACAACTGACAGGGGAAGGCCAGCTTAAAGAACAAGGTGATGGTTACACTTCTTCTGGAAAGGAAAATCAGAACAAGCTTCGCCATAAAAAATTAACTGGTTGGACATCCCAATGAATCCTCCTGTGGGCTAAGTGAGCGTCTCATGGCCCTACGGCTGAGCCTGGCCCAGAAGCAGCACATCACAGTCATCAGTGTGTATACCCTGATCCTAGTCACAACAGATGAGACAAAAGAGGCGTTCTACACCAGCCTTGGCCAACTGCTGTCCCGCACCCCCAAGGGAAACAAGTTTATTCTCCTCAGTGGCTTCATTGCCACAGTCAGAAAGGGCACAAAACATTGGAAAGGCATGTTAGGCAAGAAAACTGAAGGGAAAACAAACTCCAATGGAGTCCTCCTCCTGACCAAGTGTCAAGAACATGACCTCAGCATAACAAACACCCTGCTCCCTTAGAGGAGAAGCCCAAGACCTCGGGGCAATACCCCACTCCAAGCACTGGCACTGAATCAATTACATTATCATTCGATGGACGGATTACAAAGATATCCGAATCACCTGCACCATGACAAGCTGACAGCCACCAGACCAACCACTGACTAATCCATCCTACTATCTCCGTCAACCTGGCCCCAAATTCACAGAGGCAGAGACACTTAGCTGAACGTTGCCAGACTCAAAGACCCTGAGAAGGAATACCTACTCAAGTGGCACCTCAAAGCCAACCTGGTAATGGTCAATGTGTTAAAGCCACAGAGTGCCCACAGCACCTGGTCCACAGTAAAAGACATCATAGTCAGCACTTACGAAGAGACGTTCAGCCTTTCATCTGGGAACTCAGACTGGTTCAATGAGAATGATCAGGAGATCCAGGATCTCCTAGACCCATAACCACAAAGCATGCCTGAACTGGCAGCTCCACCAAAACTTGAGTGAGAGGAAACAAGTTGCGAGGCAACTGAAGGCCAGGATCTAACGGTTAGATGGCGGGTGGAAAGAACGCAGTAGACACAGCAGCTCACCACAATGTGTGCGGCTTCTGCAGGGCAATCAAAGTCATCTACCGTCCAAGTATGCAGGGAGCTACTCCACTGAGAGTCAAAAACAGATAGTCGCTTATCAAAGCCCAAGAGGCAGTCAACACGTAATGGAGTCAGCACTTTGAGTACCTCCTCAACTGAGGTACAGCCTTTGATGTAAGTGCTCCCGACACCATTCTGCAACACACTACCTGTCACCATTTCAGCTCACCTCCAACTTGCCACAAGGTGGAAAAAGCATCCTACAGCTGAAAAACAACAAGGTCTCCAGCACAGAGGGAATCTCCATTGGAGTTGTAAAATACGGCTAAGAAGCAGACAAATCCACAATCTCATCACTCTTGTCTGGAAGGAAGAGAGCATACCAATAGATCTCAGACTGTAATTGTGACCATCTTAAGAAAGGAGACAGGTCTGACTGGAAATTACAGAGGGATTTGCCTATTGTCTGTCATAGGAAAGGTCATCGTAAGAATCCTCCTCAACTGCCTCCCTCCAGTGACTGAAGAGCTCCTCCCTGAGTTTCAATATGATTTTTGCTTGTCAAGTGGAACAATGGTCATGATCTTCAGTGTGTAACAAGTCCAAGAAAACTGCAATGAACAGCACCAATCACTATATGTGGCCTTTCGAACCTCACAAAAACTCTGTCACCCATGAGTATTGTGGTATATCTTCCTCAAAATCAGCTGCCTGCAAAAATGTGTCACTATTCTCCGCTGGACATGCAAATTGCAATTCTCACCAATGGATTTACTCAGACCCAAAACAAGTGCAAACTGGTGTCAAGCAGGGCTGTGTGTTCATACCGACACTGTTTGCCATTTTCCTTGGTGCAACGCTCCACCCCACGTCCATGAAGCTCCCCACTGGAGTGGAGCTAACCTACAGGGTGGGCAGGAAATTGTTCGCCTTTCGATCCCTCCAGGCCAGAACCAAGACCACCTTCTCTCATCGAGCTGCAGTACTCAGATGTTACCCATGGGCGCACACAGTCGGAGACTGAGCTACTAATCAACGTTGATCCATTCACGTAATGAATGAGAGAATGGTACTCAGACTAAACATGCTGCCACACAACGTTGCTGCCCCAACCATCAAATCTATAGGAAGCCCACGGACAACGTGGATCATTTGCCATACCTCAGGAGCCTCCTCTCAGTGCAAGCAGACATTGACAAAGAGATTCAACTTCGACTCCAATATGCCAGTGCAGCCTTCAGATGCCTGAGGAACAGAGAGTTCAAAGTCTGATACCTCAAACCTAGCACCAAGCACATGGTCAACAGAGGGAGCCATGGTCCCCACCCTCCTGTGTGCACCTGAAATATACACCATGAATAACCATGGTCCTCAAATCTCTGGATAGTTATCACCAGTGCTCCATTCACATAATCCTGCAAATCTACTAGCAGGATAGGTGTACCAACATGAGCACTCTCTCTCTAGTATTGAGGCACTGGTCATGCTTGACCAGTTACAATGGGCTGGCCACATTGTCTACATGCCTAACTCAAGACTCCCTAAACGAATGCTCTATCCAAGCTCTGCAATGGTCAGCGATCAGTAGGAGGGCTGAGGAAATACTACAAGGATTCTATGAATGCCTTCCTAAACAAATGTAACATCACCTCTAGAACAAACAAACTGGAGAAGAAGCATCTGCCACAGGGCCCAACCACTTTGAGCGTCCCTGAGCGGAAGCAAGTCACCCTCAATGCTGAGGGACAGCCAAAGAAGACAAAGAGCAATTTACAGCAGATGAACTGTAGTGGTTCAAAGAGGTGATTTACCACCACTTTAGATTCATAGAAACTTATAGTCCAGAAGATGTCCTTGGCCCATCGAGTTGGCACTAACAATAACTCCTCTAAATCTACACTAGTACCACTTTGCAACACTTAGTCCAGACCATTGAATGTTATGACATTTCAAGTGCTCATCCAATACTTATTAATTTTTTTAACTTGTCAGGGCAATTAGAGATTGGCAACAAATGCTGGTCTTGCCAACATTCCATGAAATAATATTTTTACAAAATTACCTAAGGGTTTATCCATAATGTAGCAATTCTTCATGCGGTTGATTCGGGCGAGTTTCTTGTCCAATGTCACTTGAGCTTTCCTTCCTTTCTTAAATGCTCCATACATTATATAATTGAACCTGTATTCAACATGATACAAAAGCACTCAGTATATTATCTCACAGTTAGAACATAATTGAAGTTGCTCACTTTGATTTTAAATTCCTGACAACTAAGTGGCAGTTTATTTTCAGAGGAAATATTCTCTAATTTTTAATTCAGTTAAGAGCCAGCCACAGGGACAAACTCCACGGTGCTATGTTAAAATAACTGATTCGAACAAAGAGCAAAGAACAATACAACACAGGAATAGGCCTTTCGGCCCATCAAGCCTGCGCTGATTCTTATTCCTTATTTAGACCTGCTACTTATTTCCCATACACAGTTTCTATCCCTCTGTTTGCCTCCCGCTCATGTGTCTATCAAGACAGACCCTAAACATTGCTAATATACATGCTTCCAATACCTCCAATGGCAGTGCATTCCAGCCACCCACCTCCTTTGTGTGAAAAATTTTCCCCACACTTCTGCCCTAAACCTTCCCCTCTCACTTTGCATTTCAAGACACCCAACACTTCTTCCTTCATTATGTTGATCTACTCGAGAGTATTCACACATCTTTCCCTAACCTCAACATCCCTCATGTCCTTCTCTTTGGTGAATACCAATGTAAAGTACTCGTAAGGATCTCACCCATTTCTTTTGTCTCCACACATAACCTCCCTGCTTTATCCTTGAGTAGGCCTAGTCTTTCCCTAGCCACCCTCTTACCCCTACCATATGTATAAAATGCCTTGGGATTCTCCTTAACCCTGCCCCTTTTAGTGCCCCCCAATACACCATTTGAGCCCTTTCCTACTTTCGCTATATTCTCCAAGGACTTTGTCTGTTTTTAGTTGCCCAGACCTGAGGTATGTTTCCTTTTTTTTGACTAAGCTGATAACTTTCCCTGTCAGCCAAGGTTCCTGAATCCTGCCATCCTGTCCTTCATTTTCACAGGAACATGCCTGTCCTACATTCTAATCAACCGGTCTTTATAAGACTCCCACATGTCAGATGTGGATTTACCCTCAAACAGCTGCTCCCAATTCAAATTCTCCAATTCTTGCCTAATTTGGTTACAGTTGACCTTCCCCCAATTTAACACCTTCATCTGAGGTCCACTCTTGTCCTTATCCACAAGTATCTGAAAACTTATGAAATTATGGTTACTATTCCAAAATGCTCACCCACTTTGATCAACTGGCCAGACTCTCTCAATACAGGTCCAGTATGGCCCTCTTCCTTATTGGACTATCCATATTCTGTTTCAATAAATCCTCATGGACTCCCCTAAGAAATTGCTCCCCATCCAAACCCCCAACACTAAGGGAGTACCAGTCAATATGGGGGAAGTTAAAATCACTCACCACATTTTTGCATCCTTCCAGAATTTGCCTATATATCTCTTTCTCTATCTCCCATTGGCAGCTGGGAGGTCTGTAGTACATTCCCTGCATTGTGAGTGCAATCTTCCTAATCCTGAGTTCTATTCATAATGCCTTGCTGCAAGATCCTTCCAGGGTGTCCTCCCTCAACACAGCCCTGTAATATGTTCCCTAACCAGTAATGCAACTCTTTTGCTTCCTCCTCTGTCTCGTCTAAAACATCGATATCCCAGAACATTAAGCTTTCAATCCCGTCCCTCTTTCAAACATGTTTGTGTGATAGCAACAACATTGCAATTAATCCAGGCTCTAAGTTCACCCATTTTATCTATTATGCTTCTTGCATTGAAGCAAATACAGTCCAAGCCTCCAGTTCTACTGAGCTCAGCAACCTTTTCCTGACAGCTGTTCCTCTTAACTATATTTGCCTTAGTCTGAAGTTATTCCCCAGTCTCTAAACCTAAAGACCTGCTGCTCCAGTTCCCACCCCCCTGCCACATTAGTTTAAACCCTCCCAAGTAGCTCTATCAAACCTCCCTGCTAGGATAATGGTGCCTCTGCAGTTTAGGTGCAACCAGTCCTTCTTGTACAGGTCCCACCTGCCCTGGAAGCCATCCCAATGAACCACATGTCTGAAGCCCTTTCCCCTCCACCAGCTCTTTAGCCACATATTCAATTGTACTATGTGCCTGTTCCTAGCCTCAGTAGCACATGGCGTGGGGAGTAATCCTGAAATTACTACCGTAAAGGTCCTGCTATTTGGTTTACTACCCAACTCCCTGAATTGTCATTGCAGGACCTTATCACTCTTCCTACCTGTTTCATTTGTGCCAATATAGACAATGACTTCTGTCTGTTTACCCTCCCTTTCAGGAATGCCCCATACCCACTCAAAGACATCCATGATCCTGGCACCAGGGAGGCAACATACCATCCTGGAGTTTCTCTCGTGGCCACAGAAGTGCCTATCTCTGTCCCCGACTATTGAATCCCCAATCACAATTGCTCTACTACACTTTGTCCCTCCCTTCTATACAGCAGGGCCAGCCATGGTGCCACTGCTCTAGCTGCTGCTGTTGCTGTTGTCATCTGATGGGCCACCCCCTCATCAGTATCCAAAACGGAATACTTTGTTTGACAGGGGTCAGCTGCAGGGGACTCCTGCACTGATGCCTGCTCCATCTATCTTCCTGTACCTAGGGTGTGACCACTTTTGACCATGAAGAAATGGACTTGAGAAACATATCTCGCAAGTTTGTCTGTAGCCAGTTGTGATTGGTACCTTTCTTACATAAAAACATTTATATTTACTGAAGGGTCTAGGCCCGAAACGTCAGCCTCTCTGCTCCTATGATGCTGCTTGGCCTGCTCTGTTCATCCAGCCCTGCACCTTGTTGTCTAGTATTTACTTGAGGTAGTTTTAAAAACATTCAGCCTCCATTTAGAGGCAACACTGTAATATAAATGACACTGTAAATAAATTTCTGGGGACAGAAAACACCATTTCCAATAAAAATGAAATGTGGTCAATGCTGGAAATCTGAAGTAAAAATAAAGTTTCCTTTAACAAAAAAAGTCAAAACGTTAACTCTGTTTTTCTCTCTACAGGTGTTGCTAGACATGCTGAGTTTCTCCCAGCATCTTCTGTTTTTATGAATACCACGTTCATGGTGCTTATGTTCCCTGTTTCTGGGTGCAATACTGTTTTGATCCAGTTATGTTGTGCTTTTCACACTGCTGCTTTGAATACATTTTCCTCTAATATGGAAGGAAATTTGTAGACACAATGGCAAAGCCACAAACACAGCTAAGAAAAACTGTACATTTGCAAATATTGCACTCATGGAATTATGTTAGAATTGTTGCCAAACTCCAAATTCCCTTCACCCCTTGCAGCAGGGTAAAAGAGCCCAATTCAGAATACAGGTACAGCAAGTGTTTCAACAACAACTTTACAAACAAATTATGAACATGAAGAAATTAGTCTTGCTAATGCTGTGCAGTGCAGTTTGTAGCAAGTTTTAGAGGATAAAAGCATGAGTAATTACAGGTGGCTGATGAAAAGTGGTGGGAACAGAAAGGGAGAAAAAGACAAAAAAAACTAAGACGTGGTAATACAGAACAGAGATTTGATGGAATCAAGAAACTGAAAGGGTGCACAGATAGGCACAGTCTGACAAAAGGAGAAAAACTAAGTGGGTAGATGTAGTAGATAGAAATGAAGAGAAGGAACTATGAAAGATCGATTCACAGGAGGAAAGGCAAGAAGCATATGGAAAATAGAGAAGGTTAGAGAAAGTAAGAAAAGACAGAATTACAGCAAAGGGCTGCTTTACAGTCCTAGATAATTATACATATTTTCTGCCCTTGCTCAACTACTTTAATATCAATAAATGTAGCAATATTAAAATCTGAGACCTTTTGAAGAAATAATTCAGATGACAAACATCACCTTAAAACAATTACCATAACAACTGAGGAAATAGATGAAATTGGTACACTAATGCATTATACACATGAATTGTACAGTAGCTTTTATTTATTAGAAGTATAAAAGATTATATTTGAAAATTCTGTTTCAGCTAAGCTTCCAGCGCACAATATCTGATGATATTAGTGCAATCGAACTTGTGGACTTAGAACATCAGCTGCATGTAAATGCAAATTTATGTTTCAGTCTACTGCCTCAGTTAATAGTCCCACAGTGCTCGGAAGTGAGGATAGTGGAGAGAGGGAGGATTGCTCATCACTGGCAAGTCGCTTGTTTTCCCTCTATGTTAAGGACGTATTTGCGAACATATACAGCAATTCCATTTATTATGCCAATATATGGCCCAATAGAAATCTTGCAATAGGGCGCTGATTATGCTTTTTAATAATAAGAGAATTAGACAACATTAAGTTATGTTATTGCAAATACCTTGTTCATTGTTGATATATTTTAGTATATAACTTTTAGTTTTTGACATTAAAGTTTAACTATAGACAATGAGATAAATGCAATTAAAGCAGCTTGAAGTCTATTGCACTTAAAAGATTGGGGCCATGTTGCTTTAAATGGTTAACAGCTAGGAAGCTAGAGAACTGGAGATGTGATGTCTACACTGTTGCAAATAAATTCAAAGTAGAGAGATGTGTTAGTTTTGGGAATTAGGGCTAAATTAATTTAGGAATATTCAGTGAATGCTGAAAGTTTATAAAACTCGTTTACTTCATCAGATCAAAAAATAAATTATAAATGGGTGAGAATTAATACAAAAGTTTGACAGTGCAGAGCAGTATATGTCATCATGGAGGTTAGAAAGGCCCTCTAATTTCAGTACGACTACGTGTTTACTACTGAGATTTTTTTAGATGCAGTTTGGAACTTGTGTGGTTTATATCTCATTGGGAGAGGTAAGCCAAAGTAAGTGACAGTTAAACACACCTGGATTGCAAGCAGATTAAAATAATAATTTTATCACTGACAATGTTAAAGTCGTGCAAGGCTTAATCTCAGTTTGGATCTTGTGAGGGAATGGAAGCTGGAGGTTGCCTGGCTTGAAGCTAATGAGAGAATCTACAATAGGCCTCATACATATAAATAATCAATAGATTAGCTTGGAATAAAGGGATAAGCATGTCTAGACAAGAGGGGGCAAATGAAAATTTTACCTTTAATAGTGGAGCTGAGAAAAGTCCTCCAGAGGGCTGTGAAACACTTATTGCGGTCCTGACAGAAGTACAAGATTGATGTGTCTAATACAAAGTTTTTTTTGGGGAAGTAGAAAGTATAATTGAATGCATAACTTATATGGTTGTAAACCACATTGCTTATAGTACTTACTTCATTGATGTCTTTAATATATAATAAAGTTTACTTTGTTAGAAAAGTGAAATTTTGTGGCTTAGTTCTCTCAATTTGTTTGGATTTCTTTTTTCCCAATTATTCAATGGATGTGGACATCACTAGATGCCCTTGAGAAGGTGCTACTGAGCTGCCCTCTTGAACTGTTGCAGTCCATTTGATGCAGATACACTAACAACAGCATTAGGGAGGGAATTACACAATACTACCAAACAACACAGAAGGAACGGCAATATATTTCCAAATCATGATATGAGTGTCTTGGAGGAGAAGTTGCAGCTGATGGCGTTCCCATAAACCGACTAACCCTGCACTTATGGATGGTAGTGGTTATGGGACTGAAAATATGCTGTCCAAGAAGTTTGGTGTATTTCTGCAATGCATCTTGTCGACAATGTACACTACATATTAATGATCCATAAATGGATCACAACAATGTCCTTTTTCTCTGCTTTTATTTTCTTCCTGACTGTACGGTAGGTGATTCTGAGGTGCATGGATCACTCACCCCAATTGTATTGACAATCCTGATTCAGGGATTTGGCTCATGGTCTGTGTTCCTCTGTCTCTACTCTACGCAGCTGGAAGTTCTGCTCTGTTATTGTACTACTGTCTGAATGAGACTTCTGGAATTTTGGTCCTATGTATTGTGCTGCTAGGTTTTACAGACCACGAAGTCCTAGGTTTGATCAACGCATTATGTTATACAAGGGAAAAACAGCCATGGTTCTTGATCCTGATTTCTATTCTGTGAGTCCTGCTAGAAATATATTTGGTTGAAATGGAAGACAGGATTGGGTCTGGTTATTGGGTTCAGTGGCTAACTATACATGTGTAAAGACCAAGTCTTTTGACTTTTGTCCTTTTTAAAATTGTGGACTGAAATGAGAAAAACACTTTCAGTGCAAATAAGCCTGTCCTTTCAGCTTCTTAGCCTTGCAAGCTTCAATCTACATGGGTTCCATGGTCAGACACACAGAATATATACTTTAATTCTATATCAGCTGCTTTGTTCATAGATTTGGATAGTCTTCCTAATTGATTGTAATGCTAATTTTTGACTCAGTACCTCTTCCTAGTTTCAAAAAAGGCTAATTTAAAATCCTGCAGTGTGACATTAAGAAGCATAAAACTACGTTAACATATGTTATACAAAACACAATTTAATTTTACAAATTATGCTATTCTAGGGAGTGCTGGCTTTCCAAGTAAATTCATTCAAAATCTGTCACTGATGTTATATCCTCTTTATAAGGAAATTTATTAGTGATTTACCCTTATTTGCTGATTTCAATTTGAGTTTCTTTTAAATTTGATACAGAAGTACATGTTGCTGGTCTGAATCCTCACGCATTCAATATGCGACCAATGCTTCTATCTTTACCAGGTCTGTAGTCTTTCATTTGCATCTAATACATAATGAGAATCTTATGTTTTGCATAAAAGTATATATTGGCTGATTTGCCATATAATTCAAGCAGACTCTTGTCATTATTTAATGCCTTGCTTACACATACTAGCAATGATCCAATCAGTTCAGCTCCCATGGCTTTGTTCAAAGAACATGTTCATTTCTTTTATTAAGGATATCTCTGATTGCTTGCCACTCTTAATTCTTTCCTACCTCAATAATAATTTGCACTTCTGTAGGAATCTTTAACATAGTAAAATGTCCCGAGGAATTTCACAGAAGTGTAGTTGAACAGAAACTGATACTAAACTAAAGAAGGTATCATTAGAACTGAGGCTGAAGAATCAGTGTAAGAGGTAGATTTTAAGAATTAACTTAAAACAGGAGAGAGAGGTACACAAATTTACAGAAGCAATCCCAGAGTTTAAGGCCCAACCAACTGAAAGCAAAGCTATCAATGCAGTTGTAAATGCAAACATAAATGTGGAAGAGGTCAGAGAGGTTTGTAGTGCTGCAGGAGGTTACAAAGACAGAGATTATAGAAAGGCTTGAAAACAACAATGAGAATTTTAAAATCATGGTATTAGTGGACTGGGAGTGAGTGCAAGTCAACGAGATCAATTATTTTTGCTTCCTCTCAATTTTGGTTCTATTTCAATAATTAACAATTGTAAGATCCCCTCCAGGCCACATCCTGACTTGGAACTATATTGCCGTTCTTTTGCTGTCACTGGATGAATATTCTGGAACTCTCTGAACAGGTTGAAAAACATGTTAAAAAATTTAAACAACAGTGCGCTGTAGCTACCTTCTCAAGGATAATTAGGGATTGGCCATAAATGCTGGTCAACTAGTGATGTCCACATCCCATGAATGAGTAATCAAAAAAAAAATTCTAATGCTGGGAAGCCTACTACCAATTCAGTTCTCAAGGATTTTTCATTTTTATTTTTGCTCCACAATGGGAAGGAAAGCATTCTTGCTCATTCATCTGAAATAAGTGTCTGAACTGACTTTTTCACCTTTTTCTCATGGCAGCTTGATACTCATTATGCTTTTTTTTCACTTTCTATATCTTCCATATGCCATTTTATAACAAAATCTCATCCTGCAGCTCCATGGAGGATCTCAACGTACGGTTTGGGACCATTGGGCGTAATTACTGCTTGGGGACAGACAAATCAGGAGAGTGTAAAGTGGCACCAACCATAACAGTAGTGATAGAGAGACGATTAGAGTAAAAGACACAAAAAAGGTTGTGATAAAAACAGAAACTGCACTAAAAGGAATCATCAGACAGCAAGCTTTTTTTCTTCTACAGTGTTCAGTAATATGAACACAGAAAGAAAATGTTTGGTACAAAACAAGAAACTGAACTTTCGGAGGCAGCATTAGCAGTGGAGTTCTTTTAAGATTAGAAGAGATAGTGAATGCCAGAATTGACTCATTTTGAGCCATCAAGACGAACTGATTGTAGTTCTTCATTGGACTTATATGAGACATGAAGAAATCTGAATTTGCTTAGAGGTCCTGCTAGAAATGTACCATAATTCCAGAAGATTTTACCAGACAACTGCAATGAGATTCTATTAATTCTGGATTCTTTTAAATCAGCCCTTTAAGGAATGGATGATAAGTAAAAACGGTGTTTGGTATGGTAAGTAAAAAAGACTAGGTGCCACATAAATTCAATACCTCCCATGTTTTCTGTGGTATCTTTGGCTGTGTATACTGTCTTAAATGAGGAAGGAAACTGAATGAGGAAGGTAGCTGAATGCAAGTTGAAGAAATTTTTTCAATCATTTAATCGGTTACTATAAACAAAACTTCATGTAAATATAAGCAAATCAGGGCAGATATTGTGCTCTTGATGGCAGATACTGATTTAAAAGCTTGTGAAACTTTGTGTTCCATTTCATCCAAATGAACTGATCTCACACAACAATATGAGACTTGATTATTTTAATATTTTTATCATATTCCTGCCATGTAGGGCATGACACAGTGTACGATGTAAGTCAGGGACAAAATGACTGTTAGAAGTCAAATGAATGGTTGCTAGATGCCGTATCAGTAATGCCGTCATTTTCTCCTTGAAGACAATGTAGAGCTCAGAGTTTGGTTATTTGCATTCAAAGAACTTTTCACAGAAGCAGCAAGGAAATGTGGCAACATGTCAAGCTAAGAACTGTTTAGCAGCATTTTCGTAGCCTTTTTACTTAAGCCTTTTTGAAGCATCCATTTCAATTAGATGCTGTGCAACTTGAACACATTAAATAACTTCAACTGTATTTTATAGAGGCCCGATTAACAGCTGATTTGGTCTTTACAGAGATTTCAGACAGTTGTTACACAGTTTTCTGTTTTCATTGTCCCTACATTCAAACATTGGGTTCAAAGTAGCCTTCAGACGAGTGTTCACAATGGCACGGGCCCTTTGCAGCTAAATTGCAAAAGTGCTTCGGGTGGCAACATGAATCCCACAATACCCTGACTTTATTATATAATACTGAACCTGACTTTATTATATAGTACTGGCAATCTATATAACCTCCTGTAAGTGTGTACCTATACAGTTAGGCATTAAGTCATTGAACTCAGATGAATACGCACTCTTTATTCTGTTCTTTAATCTCTTCCTGTAAATCCTCCTTTTCCAGTCCATGGTACAGTGCTTTAAGATGAGGATAGGGCACTGGCACTGAAACAAAGATACAAATAAAATCACTGATTTGTCTCTTGAGGACAGGTTTCATTTAATGGTTGAAAAATTGGAGAACCACAACTATGCTGTTATTTTCTTTGAGAAGCTGCTTTCCCAAATGATACATAAGAGTAAAGTAGGCATTATTGAAAGTTGGTATAACCTTTCGATGTTTGAAAAATTAAAACCCGATAGTTTAACCACTTTGCTGCATTCCCGTTCCGGTGCAAAACTCTGTTGCGAAAACAGTAATTGCTTGAAATACACAGCAGGTCAGACTGTATCTGTGGAGAGAGACGCAGTTTAAATTTTTAGTTAACTTTTTTTCAGATTGTTACAAATTGTAACGAATGACTGGTTTTAAGCAAGTGGGGGCAGGGGGTGGGGTCTGGTGGATAGCTCATTCCAAGTTGCCCTTCCAGAATTTACCTAGAATTCAGTTTTGCACTGTATACCCACATTAAATGGAAACATGGCTGAATTTGTCTGAAATGAACAACAGGGTGGCATAATGCCAGGATTAATGGTAACGATGAGTATTGCAGAGGGCCAGGCCAATGTGCTGGGGATAAAGGTTCAAATCAGTAGCTCATGGAATTGAAATTCAATTAATAAATTTGGAAAATAAAACTAGTTTCATTAGTGGTGATCGTGAAATTATTGTTGATTGCTGTAAAAATTCATCTGGTTCATTGATGTTTTTAGGGAAGAACATTGGCCATTCTTACCTGGTCTGGCTCCAGAGTGACTCCAGAGCCATAACAATGTGCTTGACTCTTTACTGCCCTCTCCAGTGGGTTAACAAATCACTCAGCGCAAGGGAAATTAGGGATGGGCAACAAATGCTAGTTACCTTTGCCAGTGATGCCCACATCCCATTAGAGAATTAAGCAAAAAACTCATTAAATTTGAAACCTTTTAAGTAGCAAAGTCTAGGCTGAGTTGAAATGCAGGGCTTGAATGTATAAAATAAGCATACCAACCCAGTGTGGCATCCAAATCTATCATACTATTTTCAGGGCTAGTAGAAGGAAGCACCTTAATTGGTGTATTACCGTACTTGGATCTTTGCAGCTCTCAGTTGCTTTTGTTGTGGCAATTTCACACCAGGCCTTGTGATAGTCATCAAAAGCAAACCTTTTTATTCTAAAAGAGAGCATAATTATTCATGTTAATTATGTAAAGAGTTTACCTGATTAAATGCTGTTTAAATGATCCATATAGTAACAAAAAATCTAGGTTGCCATCGCTTTTACAAAATAATCAAAAAGGAACCAATGCTCACAGAAATCCTCATGTTATAAAGAGGAAGGTACAAAAGAGTTAATTACAATGAGAATCTGACAAACATGGGAAGACAAAGGTTATAGAATAACACAAATATCTTATTTTCATTCAATTTTCCCCTTTCCTTCTGAACACACTGATTCACATAAATTTATCATATTGTTACCAATAGTACTTCAGTAACCTCGCCAAGTAGGTATTTTTCAAGTGCAATTCTTGACAAGTGAACAGCAAGTTTTCAGTGGGGCTGAGAAAGGAGATGCAAAGGCACAGTTAAAGATAACTTATAAATCCTTGATCAATAGGGGAATCAAGGGTAATGGTGAATAGGCAGGAAAGTGGATATAAGGAATGTGAGATCAGCCATGATCTTAATGAATGGCAGAGCAGGCTTAAAGGGCCTTATCGCTTACTCTTGTTCCTATTTCTTACAGTCTTATGGCCTTAAGGAGGAGGACTTCAAAGACAACAAGGTGCAGGGCTGGATGAACACAGCAGGCCAAGCAGCAT